CCCCTCCGCCGTCCCCCCGTTGCCCTCTTCTGTCCCCTCCGCCGTCCCCCCGCTGCCCTTCAGTGTCCCCTCCGCCGTCCCCCTGCTGCCCTCAGTGTCCCTCCGCCGCCCCCCTGCTGCCCCTCAGTGTCCCCTCCGCCGTCCCCCCGCTGCCCTCAGCGTCCCCTCCGCCGTCCCCCCGCTGCCCTCAGCGTCCCCTCCGCCGTCCCCCCCGCTGCCCTCTTCTGTCCCCTCTGCCGTCCCCCCGCTGCCCCTCAGCGTCCCCTCCGCCGCCCCCCCGCTGCCCTCTTCTGTCCCCTCTGCCGTCCCCCCGCTGCCCCTCAGCGTCCCCTCCGCCGCCCCCCCGCTGCCCCTCAGCGTCCCTTCCGCCGTCCCCCCGCTGCCCTCTTCTGTCCCCTCTGCCGTCCCCCCCGCTGCCCCTCAGCGTCCCCTCCGCCGCCCCCCCCGCTGCCCTCTTCTGTCCCCTCTGCCGTCCCCCCGCTGCCCCTCAGCGTCCCCTCCGCCGCCCCCCCGCTGCCCCTCAGCGTCCCTTCCGCCGTCCCCCCGCTGCCCTCAGCGTCCCCTCCGCCGTCCCCCCCGCTGCCCTCTTCTGTCCCCTCCGCCGTCCCCCCGCTGCCCTCAGCGTCCCCTCCGCCGTCCCCCCGCTGCCCTCTTCTGTCCCCTCTGCCGTCCCCCCGCTGCCCCTCAGCGTCCCTTCCGCCGTCCCCCCGCTGCCCTCAGCGTCCCCTCCGCCGTCCCCCCGCTGCCCTCAGTGTCCCCTCCGACGTCCCCCCGCTGCCCCTCAGTTTCCCCTTCGCCGTCCCCCCGCTGCCCCAGTGTCCCCTCTGCCGTCCCCCTGCTGCCCCTCAGTGTCCCTCCACAGTCCCCCTGCTGCCCTCTTCTGTCCCCTCTGCTGCCCCCTGCTGTCCCCAGGCTGCCCCTCCGCCGTCCCCCGACTGTCCTACTGAAGTCCATCAAGTCTCAGAAGGGTGGAGGACGGTCACCTTTCTCTAGCATGATAGGCTGAGTCAGAGGGGGATGGCTCAGAAGTGGTCACTCCAGGCTGCACAGGGACTGCACTGGGAGGGTAGCCCACCGGCCAGAGTCGACGAGCAGGACCACAGGCATCCATCCTGTCCACCCAGCACCTGGCCAAGGGGGGGGAGGAAGGAGAGGACGGTGTTCCCCCGGGGCGGTCACAGCAGCCCCCAGCAAGAGGGCCGGAGGGCAGGGCTGGGAGCAGCAGCTTGTCCCTTCCTGGGGCGTGAAGCGATGTCAGCAGCGGGATCTTGGGAGGGGACGCAGCAGAGAATCCAGAGTCAGAAGGCGGGAGAAGGAGCGGCTCTGTCTATGGCTGGGCGTGCACCCGTCCCAGACCGGCCCGTAGTCCCCCAGGTGGCACACTGTGGCGGAATCCGGCGGGGAGGGCCGAGCAGCGCCTGCGTGTCCCACCCGGTGCAGAGTCTGCAGGCCACAGGCCTCACCGTCTGCGCCGCATCCCACGTCTCTGTCTCCGAAGATGCGGCCTGTGAGTTAGCGCTGTGGATCTGCCCCACGGACCGAGCCCATGCAGGAGGGTGAGACCACAACCGCGACCAGCCCCCGTCACCAGGCTCACCCCAGGAAGGCCCCGTGAGAAGGCCCCGAGGCCCGTGGCTTGGTGGCGTGCGTGGCCCAGAAGCAGGGGGTCTGAGGGACGACGCTGGTCACCAGCAGCCCCGCCTCCCCACTGACGCTGAGGATGGTGGCCAGCTCAGGTCTCGGAAGCACTCCCTCAGGTGCAACACGAGGGAGGAGCCTCTGGGGAAGAGCAGGGACGAGCAGGGACCGAATGTGGCAGAAGAGTCACCCTGGGCAGGAGGGCCAGGCCCCAGCCCTGGCAGAGACGGCGACAAGTGCCTTGATGATCGCCACACGGAGCAAGAAAGCAGGGTGCTGGGGGCACAGGGCCGGGGGGAGGCTCAGGGCTCAGTGGGCGGAAACGAGACACGCGGGGCCTGGGGGAGAGGCATGGACAGAGCCCTTACTGGGGGCTCTGAGCCGGCCGCCATGACTTGTGGGCCTCTAAACGATGCACATGTGCACTCTTCTGTGACCCAGGACACCTCTCGGCCCCAGTCACCGCCCTCTGGGTTTAAGCACCGACCAGACCTCCCCTGGCGCTCCGCTGGTGGGTGGGGGTGTCACAGGCCGGCACTGGGCAGAAAGGGGGACAGATTGGCCTCACAGCCTGGGTCTGATGGAGGACTTCGTGAACACTTTGTCCCCCCCTCCCCGGTACCATCCGTGCCCCGCTTGCCAGGGACCGAGCCATGTCCACAGTGGCCTTCGGTGGCCTCACCACAGCTCTGCATGCCTCATTTCCACAGGAACCATGCAGAAGGCTGCCCTCCATGCCTGGGTCTCAGGGGATCGCCGGGAGCTTGAGGAGCGAGCTGTGCACGAGCTGGAAAGCAGATGCCGGAGTCCTGGAGGTGCCTGGGCCATCACCGGACCACCGCACCCCTGCCCCCCACAGGCTGCGGCCTGCCCTCAGAGGTAGGAGAACATGGGTGGTGGAACGGTTCCTTCCATGTCGCAGCCTGCAGACCCTTGGCTGGTGCAGAGGGTTTGCCGGGCGGGTGCTCTGTAATGCAGAAGGCACCCCAGCGGAACCGAGCCCCCCTACACGGCGGGCCAACACCGTGGGTGCTGGGGCTGAGCAGACTCCGGGGCTCCCACCCACTTGCCCCTTTCTTGTCAGGACCCTGAGCCAACCCAAGAAAGTGCATCCAGAAACAGGGAGGTGAGGAGGGCAGCCGCTGCCGGGGGGCTCCCCCAGGACTGACAGTCACATCAGCCCAGGACTGCTTGGCCTGGCAGGTGCGCAGGCCCCTCTCACAGGGAGGAAGAGGGACGACGGTTATGCTGGAGGCCAGGCTGGTGGAGAGAGAGGCCTGGTGCCCTGCCAGCTTCCTCACTGCCCTGGGCGGAGAATCCCCACGTATCTGCCCACCGACGCTGCCGACACAGCAATCCCACCCTAAACCCGTAGACACCTTCCTTCTCTCCAGATGGACAGTCCACACCCACTGCTCTCTCCTCGAACCCAGTCAATACCCTCAGACCCCGCCCGCAGGTGTCCAGCCCTCGTCCGTCTGTGGGACCGCACCAGGACGCTAAGACGCGCACACGCAGCGTGACCGCCACGGAGCAGCTTTCTCCAGCTGAGCAGACGGCGTCACGACCTACCCACTGGCTCAGGCCACACTGCCCCCCACCCGGCTACCTCCAGCAAGGCCACCAGCAAGCCAAGCCAGAAATGCCTTGCAAACCAGGCACTCCCGTACTTCTCTCTGCCCACAGTGCCCTCCCCAACCGGGGCCACGGCAACAGCATCTGGAGACTTCCCTGCTGCCACAGAACGTCCACGGGCCCCACAGTGCCACCCCACAGACAACACGGTCTCGTACAAACCAAACTCAGATCCCAGTTATTCCCCAGATGAACACCTTCCGACAACTTCCCACTGTGCTTACACATAAAACCCAAAGTCGCCACTTGGACTCCCCAAGGCCACCGTGGTCTGACCCTCCCTCCACAGCCGTCCCCTGTGCCTGCCCTGCCCTGCCCCGGCTGTGCCACTCAGGGGCAAATGTAGGTGCTCCCTGTCTGCAATGTTCTGGAATGTTCTTCCCCTGCTCTTCACAGGGTTGACTCTGACCTATCATCCAGACCTCAGCAGAGATAACCTCTTCCCACAAAGACGCTGCCCTAAGAGTCGTCTGGAGAAGTGACGACCCCCCCCCCCCCCATCACATCACCGTATCTTAATTCCGTCTGGTACTTGCTGTCTGGCGTTTTCTTACTTATTTACTGGTTTACTGTGTGTCTCTTCCCACGGGAACACAAACGCCTCGAGAATACGAGTCATGTCTGTCTTCTGACAATTACCTTGATCGCTGAGGGAGGGAGCCCCATGGCCCTGAACACTGTCATGTGTGCTGGGCTCTCGGACACAGAGAGCAGGGAGATGAGAAGTGACCTGGGGCCAGTCCTCCAGCCTCCGAGCCGGGTTCCCTCTCCTATAGCGCGAGGCCCACCTGAGTTGATGTGCGGGTTTAGTGCGCTAGCTTCTGTTTGGGACAGGACGTGCCATGGGCGCTTAGCACGTGGAAGCGGGTTCTGGAGTCAGTCCTGGCCCAGAGCTGCCGGGCTCCTTCGGGCTGAGCTCGTCACCCGGGCGGGACGGGGGACTCGCCCAAGTACACCCGCTGTGGTCACCAGACCCATTCACAAGGCAGGGCAGGCAGAGCAGGGCTCGCAGAAGGAGGCCCCGCGCACACCAGCGAGCCCCAGATGCAACCTCGGTGCCCGCTGCCCTGCCCCAAGCCGCCATCTCCAGCCCCGCGCAGAAGCGTCCCGAGACCGTTCCAAGTACCAGCCCAGGAGCCAACAGGCAGCCGTGACTTCAAGCTAAAAATTATCAATACAGAAACATTTAAAACATTTTTGGTCTAATTATTATTCCCTAATGACTTAAGGGATAAATATAACAATCCCATTTTGACAGTTGGTGAAATTAAGTTTAGAAGAAACTCTGCACGATTATCATCCAAGCAGCATAGCAGGCGCATCAGGCCGGACAAGACTCGGGGCTCGGGCTGTGCTCCTCACCCGAGGCGGCCGAGACCGGACGGCCCCTCGCCGGCCCCAGCCCGGCCCGTTTCGATTCCGCTCCACGGCTGCTGACGCCCGGGCCTCGACCGCCGCCGGCGGGCTCCTTACTGCGTCCGGGGCATCTCCAGCAGCTGGTCAGGTGTGCGGAGAGGCGCCCCGCTCCAGAGACGCCACTGAGGCTGAGCCGTGCGCGAGAAGACACGGGACACAGAGGCCAGCGGCCAGAAAGCTCTGGGGCGGAGGGGTGTCCATCCCGTCCCGACACAGCCCAGGGAGAAACCCTCCCGCCGGCCTGGGCAGCGGTGCAGCCTCATGCAACACCGAGCACGGCGGTGGCCGCCCCGCAGCCCCCGAGTCCCCCGACTGCCAGGCACAGGCCCGGCGCGGGTCCCCCTTGAGGCCCGTGTGCACTCGGGGACTGCACGTGAGGCCACCCGAAGGGCACGTCCTGGTGGAAATTTCGTATTTACAGCAGTGACCCTCAACCGCTCCGTCAGCCAGGTAAGGCACGCGCATGACCGAGATGACAGACACGGGCCTCGCTTGTCCTCAGGGAGCCCACACTGAGTCGCTCCACAGACGTGTGTGTCCCAGACGCCGCAGCACGAAGAGCTATGATGTCGGGGGGCCACAGGATGATGGAGAAACACAAGGCAAGGAGAGGGGGCCGGGGGCGCGCCGGGGGGCAGGGGCGACAGCAGAAGACATACCTGAGTGAAGGGAGGAGGCAAACCCCACACACGTGGGGGAAGAGCCTCCGGGCTGACACAGCAGGTGCAGAGGCCTCCGGTCTTCCTGCTTCTGCGTGGCCCCGACTCCGTTCTTCAGGGCGGCTTTGCATCCGGGTGGATGGGTGCCGAGTACACAGGGGCCCATCCACAGGGCAGAAGGCAACCCGAATCCGCCCGGGGCCATGGAGGGGGACCGCCTGACGGCCGCGAACACACAGCCTCTGCACGGCTGAAACGCTCCACGTGCGGCTGGCGACCACGTCCCCACCTGTCACGATGGGTTCAGTTTACGCCACGTAAAGAATACTTCAATTAATGTACTGATGTACCTTATGTATTTAGTGCTTTGGTAGGGTTGATTTTTATGCGAATTGGTTAGACCTGGTCGTGTGCCCCTGCCAAACCTTCCAGTGCTCCCATTTCGACGTGACCATGGAAAAGCCAACTGCCGCCGAGTCACTACATGTCGTGAGAATAAAAAGTTTTAGTATTTATGAAGTTGTGCTTATGATTATTTTTATTCTTATGTGACCTTCTCCAGGAACTGACTGCTTTTTTCTTCCTCCACCCACTTGGGTTTCCTGCAGTCTCTGGCAGCACCTCCCTGATCCGTTCACTTTTCTCCATGCAGACATCCCTCTGGCATCTCACCCATCCTGCTCCGTCCAGGACTGATGCTGCCCGAGCCCTCATTTGGGGGCTTACTGGTTCGTGTTACTGGAGCACATCCCTCCATCGCTTTTTGAGAACAAGTATGTGGGTCACACATTCTTTGAGACCCTACCTTTCTGAACAAGTCCTAATTTTACCTTTATTCCAGAGTAATTTAAGAATAGATGTGGGTTTGGACATGATGTTATGCAAAATTCAACGATACTCCCCAATCCCATACCCATTAATGTGGATTTTCTCTCTGAGGCTGTAGCAAATATTCTAAAATATTTCCATACTTTGTCTTGGCATAGGTTTTCATTTCCCATTTATTAACTTAGGTACTTGTCGACTGCTTTCAATCTGAAAACTCACATCCTTCCCTTCTAGGAGACTTGTGTCCTTGCTCGGTATTTCCTCCCCCGTGCTAACCTGCACTCTTCCTGAACACGCACGCTGCCCACGGGAGCTGATCCTTTCATTTTACCTTTTCTCTTCTCTACAATAATTCTACTACAAAATATTTCGACTGACACATCCTCTCCCCAAAAAGCAATAATAAAACTTGACAAAATTGTCAAAAACCACCATCTTAGGGTTCTGGAGGTTGACCAGAAGCATACAGCACGACGCCCGGCCCCTTCGGATGACAGCCGCAGCAGGTGGGCAAAGCCCTGAAAACCAGCAGCTTTGGGGCAGATGGTGGAGGAGCCTCACGAGCCCATGTGGTCAGAACCAGCCTGTGCCTAGGAGACCAGCGGAGGGGAGGGGGGCTCAGCCGCCTGAGGACACGATGCAGCTCTCACACCTCCTGCTCTACAGGGAAATGCCTATTCCCAGCTCCTACCCAACCTTCTGGCAGGTTGTTTCCTTTTCTCGTTGATTTTCAGTTTTTATTTTGCTTTTCTTTTTGCTTGTTTTTAAAAATCATTCTAGATCTCAATCCAGCAGCCGAAGAACATTTTGGTAAAGGGCGAGAATAAATGCTTGAGGCTTTGCAAGCTTACAGTCTCTGCGCTTCTACTGCTCAGCAGCGGAGACAGTGTGTGAATGGGTGAGACTGTTTTCCAATAAAACTTTATTTGTAGACATTGAAATTTGAATTTCATATAATTTTCACGTGTCATAAAATAATATTCTTTTGAAAAATTACCCCCTAACCATTAAAAAATGTAAAAACCATTCTTAGAACTTTCTACTCCGGGAAGATGGTGTAAATGGACCTTTTCCTATTCCTTCTGCTAAAAACCTGGATATTAAATATAAACCAAACATAAAACAACTATGACCTTGGGGTGGACCAAGAGACACCATGGTGATGAATTCCCTGGGTTTTCTTCTCGCCTCCTCTATCCCCGACTTAGAATTGAAGAACCCACAAGCACCAACAGGCACAGACGAAAAAAAAAAAAAAAAGCCCCAACAAAAGCCTGCTCTCTCCAGCCAAAGGACTGGAAATAGGGGCAGCCTCACATGGCAGAAAACTTTTTTTAAAAAAGATTTATTTATTTATTAGAGGGGGAAGGGCCAGAGGGAGAAGGAGAGAATCTAAGCAGACTCCGTACTGAGGATGGAGCCCAATGTGGGGCTCGATCCCACGACCCTGAGATCATGACCTGAGCTGAAATCAAGAGTCGGATGCTTTACCGACTTGAGCCACCCAGGTGCCCCCTGACAAACATTTTAAAGCAGGCATGATAAAATACTTCAACAAACAATTACAAATACTCTTAAAACAAATGAAAATACAAAACCCTCAGGGAAGAAACAAAGTCTCAGGGAAAAAAAGGTATAAAAAATGGGAAAATTGGAATTGAAAAATACAGTAACTGAAATTTTTTTAAAATAGATAAACTCAACAACAGAATTGAGGGGACAGGAAATAACCAGTGACTAGAAGAGAGAACACTGAAATTATATAATCTGAAGAGCCGAAAGATTTCTAAAACTACACCTTCAGAAAACTGTGTGAACCCAGAGCGGCATAAATTCAAAGAAATCCATGCCAAAACACATCATCATTAAACTTCTGAAAACCAAGGACCAAGAAAAAGTCTTGAAAGTGAAATGACACCATATATAAGAAAAACGATTTGAATGACAGTGGATTTCTCATCAGAAACCATGGAGGCCGGAAGAAAGTGACATACTATTTCTCAAGTGCTAAAAGAAAAGATCTGTATACATAGTAAAAATATCCTTCAGGAATGAAGGGGAAATTAAGACATTCTCAAATGAAGGAAAAATAAGAATTTGTCACCAGCAGACCTACCCTAAAAAAAAAGGCCAAAGGAAGTTCTCTAAACAAAGAGGAAATGATAAAAGAAGGAACCTTAAAACATCAGGAAATAAGAAAGAACATGGTAAGAAAAAATATGGGTAAATACAATAAGCTTTCCTTCCCTTGAGTTTTCTAAATTATATTTGACAGTTGAAACAAAAACTATAACACTTTCTGTTATGGTTCAGAATGAAGACAGAGGAGATTTTTAAGACAATTACATTATAAGCAGGGAGAGTAAAGGGAAGTATGGTTTCTATACTTCACTCAAGTGAATAAAGTCAACAGATATAGACTATGATAAGTATAAATAATGTAACATTTTCAGTTTTAAGATTTAAAAACACTACAGATAAATCAAAACTGAATTATAAAAAAAATGTCCACATGATCTATAGGAAAATAGAGAAATAAAAAAACAGGAAACAGAAAATAAAATGCGGACTTGAACTCTAACATATCAATAATTACGTTAAATGTAAATGGTCTAAAAAAAATACCAATTCAAAGACACACATTGTCTGTGTGGATTAAAAAACATGACCCAGGGCGCCTGCATGGCTCAGTTGGTTAAGCGACTGCCTTCGGCTCAGGTCATGATCCTGGAGTCCCGGGATCGAGTCCGGCATTGGGCTCCCTGCTCGGCGGGGAGTCTGCTTCTCCCTCTGACCCTCCTCCCTCTCATGCTCTCTGTCTCTCATTCTTTCTCTCTCAAAGAAATAAATAAAATCTTTTAAAAAATTAAAAAAAAATAATAAAAAACATGACCCAGACTAATTTAAGAAGACTGGCTGAAGCTCTGCCCAAACAATCTGTGGATGGAAAAGCACCACTTGCTACCGGAGAGGATGATGATGATGAAGTTCCAGATCTTGTGGAGAATTTTGATGAAGCTTCCAAGAATGAAGCAAACTGAATTGAGTCAACTTCTGAAGAAGATAAAACTTGAAGAAGTTACTGGAAGCTGCTATTTTATATTATGACTGCTTTTTAAAATTTTGTTCATGAATCTGATAAAATCTAGATCTCTAATATTTTTAAGCCCAAACCCCTTGGACACTGCAGCTCTCTTCAGTTTTTGCTTATACACAATTCATTCTTTGCAGCTAATTAAGCTGAAGAAGCCTGGGAATAAAGTTTGAAACAAGGTTAATAAAGTTCTTTGCCTAGGAAAAAAAAAAAAAAAATGACCCATCTATATGATGTCTACAAAAAGCTCACTTCAAATATAATGATATATTTTAAAGTAAAAAGTAAAAAGATAGGAAAATAAAATAAAATGATAGGAAAAGATATGTCATGCAAACATTAAACAAAGGAAAGAAAACACAGCTATATTAATATCAGATAAAACAGACCTCAAAGTAAAATCACTAAAAAAATCACAGAGAGGGATACTATATAATTATAAAAGATCACTCCACCAAGAACACACAGCAATCCTAAATGTGTACACACCAAACAAGAGAGCTTCAAAACATATGATGCAAAAACTAATCGAATTGAAAGGAGAAATACACAAATCCAGATTTATAACTGCAGATTTCAACAGCCCTCTCTCAACAACCGACAGAACAACTAGACAAAAAATCAGTAAGGATACAGAACTCAACAATACTATTAACCAACATGACCCGATCAACATGTATAGGACACTGACCAACAGCAGAATACATATCTTTTCTTTCTTATTTATTTATTTTTAAAGATTTTATTTATTTGACAGAGACACAGTGAGAGAGGGAACACAAGCAGGGGGAGCGGGAGAGGGAGAAGCAGGCTTCCCGCGGAGCAGGGAGCCCGATGTGGGGCTCGATCCCAGGACCCTGGGACCATGACCTGAGCCGAAGGCAGACGCTTAATGACTGAGCCACCCAGGCACCCCAATACATATCTTTTCAAGTGCCCACAGAACATAAACCAAGAAGGCTAAACCCTGGGCCATGAAATAAGTCTCAATAAATGTAAAAGTATTTCAGTCACATACAGTATGCTGTCTGCCACAATAGAATTAAATCAGAAATCAATAGCAGAAACTATATGGAAATCTCCAAATATTTGGAAACTAAGTAACACACTTCAAAATAACCCACAGAATGAAGAAGTCATAAGGAAAACTAGAAAATATTTTGAACTGAATGAAAATGAAAACACAACACAAAATGAAAAATAATATCAACATGTATGGGATACAGGTAAAGCATCACCTAAAGAGAAATTTATAGCATTAAAAGCCTATATTAGGAAATAAGGAAGCTTAGAAATTAATTACCTCAGCTTTGACCCTAAAGGAGAAACAAAAGAAGAAAAGCAAATGAAACCCAAAGAAAACAGAACAAAGTAAGTAATTAAGAAAAGCAGAGATCGGGGGCCTGGGTGGCTCAGTTGGTTAAGCGACTGCCTTCGGCTCAGGTCATGATCCTGGAGTCCCGGGATCGAGTCCCACATCGGGCTCCCTGCTCAGCAGGGGGTCTGCTTCTCCCTCTGCCCTCTTCCCTCTCGTGCTCTCTGTCTCTCATTCTCTCTCAAATAAATAAATAAAATCTTTAAAAAAAAGAAAAGAAAAGCAGAGATCAATGAAATTGAAAACAGAAAAACAATAGAGAAAAATCAATGAAACAAAGAAATGGCTCTTTGTAAGGATAAACAAAATAAACATCCAGCAAGACTGGATGAAAAGAAAAAGAGAGGACACAAATTATCAATATCAGGAACAACACAGGATGGATGTCACTGCAGACACTGCAGATGCCCGAAGAATAATGAGGGACTACTAAGAACAACTCTATACACAGCTACAAGCACCAATGTTAGACGTGAAGTTAGACAATTTAGCAAGATATACCCCCTCTGCAAGGACTCACAATGGCCACAGCTCACCCAGTCTGAAATCGATCATTAGAACAGCCCCTTAACTATTAAAGAAATTGAACTCATAATTAAAAGCCTTCCAAAAAAGAAATACCCAAGCCCAGATAATTTTACTAGAGAATTCTACTAAACAATCAAAGAAAAATTAACACCAGTTCTACACAGTCTCTTCTCAGTGGAGGAAACATTTCCCAATTCATTTTAGGTAAGTAGTTATCACCGTTAATACTAAAACCAAAGACAGTACAGAACAAAAAAACTACAGACCAATATCCTTCATGAAAAAAATGCAGAAATCCTTAACAAAGTCTTAGAAATTAGAAATCCTTAACCAATAGAATTTAGCAATATATAAAAATAATTATACACCATGACCAAGTGAGGTTTATTTCAGGAATACAAAGCAGGTTCAATATTTGAAAAAGCAATCACTATAATCCACCATATTAACCAGCTAAAGAAGAAAAACCACATGATCATATCACCCAATACAGAAAAAGCATTTGACAAAATTCAACATGTGTTATAGGTTGAATTATGTCCCCCCAAAAGTTGCAGTCTTATGTTGCAGTCTTAACCCCCAGGCACATCAAAATGTGACCTTACTTGGAAACAGGGTCTTGACAGAGGTGATCAAGTTAAAATGAAGCCACTAGGGTGGGTCCTAATCCAATATAACTATGTCCTTATGAAAAAAGGAAATTTGGACGGAGAGACAGAGGGAAGATGACCTGAAGACAAAGAGGATTCCATGTGAAGACACGACTGGAATGATGCCCCATAAGCAAAGAACACTGGAGGCTGCTAACAGGTGGCTGGGAGTCAAGGAGAGGTGAGGAATGACTCCCCCACAGGCTTCAGAGGGAACTTGGACTTGCCGACACCTTGATTTTGGACTTATAGCCTCCAGAACCATGAGATAAATTTCTGTTGTTCTAAGCCATCCAGTTTGTGGTTTGTTTGTTTTTTTAATATTTATTTATTTGAGTGAGAGAGAGATAGAAAGTGCACGCAAGAGAGAGCATGAGCGGGGTGGGGGGGGCAGAGGGAGAAGCAGGCTTCCCACTGAGCAGGGAGCCCAACGTGGGGCTCCATCCCAGGACCCCGGGATCATGACCTGAGGTGAAGGCAGACGCTTAACCGACTGAGCCACCCAGGCGCCCCTTGTGGTGTTTCGTTTTATTTTGTTTTGTCTTAATAGCAGTCCTGAGAAACTAATAAAACACCCATTTATGATTTTAAAAAAAGAAAAAAAACTCTCCGAAAAACAAAAACAGAAAAGAACTTCTGCAACTTGATAAAGAACATCAACAAAAACTACGGATGACGCTATATTTCATTGTGAGAGTGTCCGCCATCCTGAGAGAATAAAGCAAGAACGCCCACGCTCACTGCTCTAATTCAACATAGAGCTGCATGTGTGAGCCAGGAGTAAGGCAAGAAAAATAAGAGAAGGCAGATAGATCAGAAAGGAAAACATAAAACTGGCCCTATTTACAAATGATGTGATTGTCAACATAGAAAAACTGACACACAGGGGCACCTGGGTGGCACGGTCGGTTGAGCGTCCAACTCTTGATTTCCGCTCAAGTTGTGATCACAGGGTCATGAGGTCAAGCCTCATGCTGGGCTCTGTGCTCAGTGGGGAGTCTGCTTCTCTCCTTCTCCCTCTGCCCCTCATGCCCCCCCCAAATAAATAAATCTTAAAAAAAAAAAGAAGAAAAGGAAAGAAAAACTGACATACAGGTTTAAAACAATTCATTTCAAAATCCCAGCCACATTTTTGTAGGCATAGGACAGGTTATTCCAAAAATTTATAAGCATAGGCAAAGG